TTTATATATTTTATATATTTTTTATCTATATCCCATCTTTACTTACTGAATCCTATTAAATTCTGATACAGATTAGTTTTAGATTATTTATTCATGCAGACCTGACCTGACCTTTCTTAAAAAGAGACTAATCCTTTCAGAGAAATAAACACAGGAGGGCCTCATGTGGGAAAACTAGGTATTGCTAGAAAAAACCAAAACTGTCCCTTTTCTTTAGAATCATGTTTTACAACAGCCCTTAATGTAATTATTATTTTGATAAGTATAATTGATATTGTAAAGCTTATATATTGCAAACATTAAGGAGAAAAGAAATTTTCAATTAAATGTAAAAAAAAGCTCATACTCTAATTTTCTCTATATAAAAAAGTTAAACAAGGAAAATTTATAAACCTTAGTATAACTTTCAGACACTAAGAAACTCTAAATGTAAAAAGGCCTAGCTGGAAAAACTGATGCAAGTACAGAAGACAACAAAATGAAAAGAACTAAAAAAGTTTACCAGCAAAAATATTCAATAAAATGAGGATCTGAAAATTGGTAAAAAAGTAGAAGACTTGAAAAAATTCACCAGATTCATCCTGTTAATATGTTCATGAGTGAGAAATAGGATATTTTTGTATGCCAATGATATTTAGATGTTGTTGTGGCTGTGGTTCTGCATGTTTTCAATCTGTCTCGTATATATTTATATATACATACATATACACATATGCACACACATAATATAAAACACACACAAATAAATACACATGAACATAATTTTTTCTTAACTTTTTGGGGCTATGTTACATATACACTGTCCCTTTATCCTTAAAAACTTTAATATTTCCTAAGAATATGGATATTCTCTTACATAACCATAATAAACAAGTCTAGAAAGTGTACCATTGATTCAATACTTTTATCAAATCTACCATCTCTATTCTAATATGGTCAATTGATCAAAAAAATGTCCTTTGTAGCATTTATCCCATTCCAATACAGGATCCAGTGTAGGGTCAGGTATTGTATTTGGTTTTCATGTTTCTTTCATCTCTTTAACTTAGAAACTTTTATCACTTCTCTTTTTTGTAAAAAGGTTGACCTTTCTGAAGAATACATTCCTTTCTCTTATACATACACACACACACCCTTCCCCCACCACAACCCTATCCATTTTTTAAAATATAAAACTTTCCCTCATTTTGAATTTGTCTGATGATTTCTCATAGATTCAAGTTACCCATTCTTGAACAGAACACTACATAGGTGATGATGTATCCTTTTTAAGGTATCACATTTGGAGTTGTAAAATACGCATCAGTTATTCATTGGTGAGATCAATTTTAAAACTAGTCAAGGCATTTTCTGATTTCTGCATAATTACTATCTTTCCTCTTGCAATTAATATGCAGTTTGTAGAGATAAACTTTAAGACCATGAAAATATTAGGTTGACAGGAAGGTCATGATGCATTTCTCTGTTTTTCCATACAAAAATACATCATGACTTTCTTGACCCAATATATAAATATTCTGCTTTTTATCAAAGTTTTCCCCTAAATTTAGCATCTGATGACTTGTGCCTGATCTGGTATCTACTGGAGTGGATGCAAAATGCTGATCTACAAATCTAGCAGCCTCTTCATAGTTACCAGTCAGCAGTCAACATCCCAATAGAGTTGGAGCAAGAGTGCTCTTTTCTCCCCTTTATTAATGGACTATTTACTAATGGAATGTACTCATGTATTACTCTTTTTCTCAATAGATTGCAATTTATCACTGTACTTAATTATTGGGTCTTTGGAAAAGTCATGATGCATTTTTGTGTAGAAAAACATAGGAAAATACGTCATGACTTTTCCAGTGACCCAATATTTTGGTGCCCAAATTCTCCCAGATTTGGTCACTGGGAGCCCTTTAAACTACTGGGTCAATAAAAAGTCATGATGCATTTTTGCACATCATGACTTTTCCGATAATCCAGTAGCTCCTTGTGACATGTTCATTTTGAGCACTTTCTTATTTTCTGGCATAGAAAGGTACAGCTTCATCTTGTAAATACCCTCCCATAACCCTAAAATCAATGATTTATTCAAGGAGTCTGGACTCCTGTTAGTGAGGAATGGCACCTGGATACTTAGAAATGGTATATGCTATTTATTATCTGTGTGTCTGCTTCCTTACCTTTTTCAGTTGACAGACCTAAAGAATATATAGTCATGAGCCACGAAACAATGTTTCAGTCAACCATGGACTGCATACACAGCAGTGTTCCCATAAGATTGTACTGTAATAGGTCATGCTACATAGCCTAAGTGTGGAGGAAGCAATGCTATCTAGGTTTGTTAAATACACTCTTATGATGTTCACACAATGACAAAATTGTTATTCTAAGAAATTAGCAATTAATTTCATGGAATATATCACCATCATTAAATGCACATACATACATACATGAATATAGTAGTCCCCCTATTATCAGCAGAGGACATGTTCCAAAACCCCAGTGGATGCCTGAAAATGCAGATGATAATGAATTATATATATATATATATACACACACACACACACACACACACATATGTATGTGTATGTATATATATGTATATGTGTACATATATATATATATATATATATATGTAGTGTTTTTTCTTATACATTATACTTAGGATAAAATTTAATTTATATACTAGGCACAGTAAGAGGCTAACAACAATAAACTAAAGATGAAATAGAACAAGTAGAACAATATACTGTAATATAAGTTATGTGAATGTGGTCCTCTCTTTTAAAATATCTTCCTGTCCTGTACTCACCTACTTTTGGACTGCTGCTGACCACAGGTAACTGAAACCACATAAAGTGAAGCTGCATATAAGAAGGGGACTACCGTACACACACGCTTGTATATACATGTGCAGATATATACATATACACACACATACATACATGTACATATACATGTTAAATCTTGCCAGTAAATCTTATTAATTTACTGAGTGAGTTTTATTGTAGTTAAATAAAATTCTAGGATTCTTTAGTTACTGTTACATCACATGCAAATAGAAATAGTTTTATTATTTTCTTTTCCAATTCATATGCCTGTAATTGTTTTTCTGGTTCAATTGCATTTTCTTTTCTTTTTTTTTTTTCTTTTGGTTCTACTTTCATCAGGTTTACATATCATTGTTTGTTTTACTTCCTTTATGAAGAGCTTGGAAATTTTCTTTCATTTTTGATATCCTAAAGAAATTTATGTAGTTGTAAGGCTTACAAAGGTTTGGTTAAATTCCCGTATGAAACTATCTGGGTTGGTCCTTTTGAGGTATAGTTTGTTGATAATTTACATGATTTTTCCTATGGAAATTGGTCTGTTAAGTTATTGGGTTGTTGAAAAAGTCATGATATATTTTTATGTAGAAGAACAAAGGAAAAAAAATATGTCATGACTTTTCCAACAACCCAATATCTCCATCAAGGTCAATTTGGTAAACTATATTTTCCTAAGAAAACTTTTTCTTCTAGTAGGTGAGTTGATGCTATATTCATGCTAATTAAGATGACTGTCACATTTTGTCTCATTTTTTATCATTTTGTTTTACATTAAAATTATTATATATGTTATATTTACTACATTTCTCTATCTGGCATGTCTCTTTTCCTTTTTTATTTTAAATTTTTTTCTATTTAGGAGGTTTGCATTTTTGTACTATAGGTTGTCTTTGTATTACTACTTTTTACAATGCCTGCATTATCTAATCTTTCTCAAACTGATACCAGTTTTTAAAAGAGAATTTATCTGTATATATATATATATTTTTTTTTTTCAATGTGAAAGAGAGAGACAGAGACAGAGACTCAGGAACCTCTAACAGGGTCTTCAGATACAGCCTCAGCCAGCCAGTATCATGGGCACACATGTACACGCAGATGCACAGGGAGATGCTGGCATGCAAACCTGGGACCTTCCTGGGTGCCTCAACAGCCCAGGGCATTGTGTTACTGCTGAGCCACTGTGTCTGTCCCAATGTCAGTTTTAAAGGATATTTACTATTAACCTTTACTTACACAACAGAATTATAATACTCTGATTCCCCTCTTTTTTCTCTTATGTTCCTATTTTTAAAAAAACAGCATATTTCGGTTTTGATTCAGACATGAAATGTTTACATACTTCTTTTATCCATGAACTCATTCCTATTGTAGTGTTAGCTGTGCAATGATACAGATGAAGTGTTCCCTATTTGGAAACTTTTGCCAAAGTTATGTCAGTCATTCTTTAGTTGAATAAAACTCATCCTATCCTAACTTCCTCAGGAATATCATCTAAGTACAGTATTTCCTTAGCACTGCATCTTCCAAACTGTTTGCTATGCCCTAGATATCTGAAGGTCAGCTTGGCTGTTTACATTCATGGTTAACACTTTTAGTTTCTTGAAAATGTTTCTCCATTATTAGTGCCTTACTGTGTGCATGTTGCTTTGAGGCAAATGCTGATGTATTCTACTGCCTTTGTACATTATTTGATTTTGTTTTGTTCTTAATTTTTTGCTATTAGGGTGAGTGTGCTTGCCAAAGACTGAAAAAGAGAAGGAAAGTGAGAAATTGTTTCCCCCTCCAGGGGTGGGGGGAGGCAAGTGATGGCCACATGGCCATCTCTTCTTCATTCTCCTCTAGAGACTTTGAGCACACATACACATGTGTCCAGTGTGTTTTTTCAGGGTGACAAGGCCAAAACTCAAACCACTGTCTCTGTGGGATCCAGCCACCTTAACTTCCAACACCATCTGCTGGCCCATGTTTTGATCTTTATACTTGGAGACAGTGCTCATTTTTTTCTCTCTTTAAAGTCTGCTCATTTTCAAGTCAACTTTCCTTTAGTACTTGATATTAGATTCAGGTCTTTCATCAATTTTGCTAAGTTTTCTTGGATTATAGTTGCATGTATTAGTGCTGTTCTCATAAGTTTACACAGACACAGGAGCAAACATGTATATACACAGGAGATATACTTACTTGTTTCACATTTTGGAGCTCTTCTGTCAATTGTTTCTTTTGTTTCTCTGATTCAAATAATTTTTCCTAAATTTAAAAACCACTGAATTAATAACTTATTATAAAAGTTGTCAACAAATATGAATGCTAGTTCTTTGTTTCAAAGATTGTATCTTCTCCAAACATCAAACTGCTATAATCTGAAAACCAGAGGCGGCAGTCACTTTTCTGACACATACCATTTAAAAGTACTTAGTTATCATAGTATAATTGTGATGTAAATGTATTTTCTGTTACCTTAATTTGGTAAAAATCTAAAAAAATTTGAGGTCCAAAAAAGTCAGAATAAAAACATGTAAATATTAAGTAAATTTTGGGCAAAATGTAGTTATGATTATCACAGAGCTTCCAAATTGAAGAGCATTATTACCACAAATTAGAAGTAAATGTCTATAAACATACTAAAGAAGGCATATAAAACTGGGTTTACTCTTAGTTTTCTTATTTAATTTTAGCTTATTTTAAAATTTTTATTATTTTTATTTTTTTGTGATGTTTAAGGTTTTTGGCATAGGGTTCATGCTCTTGCCAGAGAAAGACAGAGAGAGACAGTGAGAAGGAATGTGAGAAAACACATCCCTCCAACCCCCCCCAGGCAGGACGTCCATGCCATAATCCCTTCTTCTTCACTTTCCTCCTGGGATTTTAGGCATGTGTGCACATGTGCCCAGCTTGATTTTCAAGGGACCAGGTCTAGGACTTGAACTGTGGTTTGCCATGTGGGAGTCCAGCACATTAATCTCTATGCCCCCTATTGGCCCCTTAGCTCATTTTTGAATGAGTATCTGTAAAAAAGAAGATACGACTAGTGTAACCAAAATATAAAATAATAGGTATTGAGGCAGATGAAGATTATGTGTGCAAATGAAATATTATCATCTTTTACCTAAAAATTAAGACAAGCATATAGCCTAAAATGTCCAATTTTGTTAAGTAAATCTTAAATCCACATTTTATTGATCCAATCAGAAATACTAGGTATAATTTTTTTTTCTTAGAATTTTGCTATAGGGGTGCATGCACTTGCTAGAAAAGACAAAGAGACAGAAAGAAAGAAATTATCCCCCCGAGGGGGGATGGCCATGCTGTAATCCCTTCTCTTCCATTCTCTTGGGATTTTGGGAAACACATGCTCATGCGCCCAGTGTGAGTTTTAAGCGCCAGTTCCAGACTTGAACCCCGGTCGACACTGTGGGAGTCCAGCATGTAACCATTACACCATCTGGACCCATGTGTAATTTTTAAAATATATTTAATGTTTTTTTTTAATTTTGGAGAGGTTTTTTTTTTTTTTTTTTTTTTTTTTTTTTTCTTTTGGGCACATGGGTTGAGGCTTTATTTGCCATAGGGTGCATGCGCTTGCTAGAAAGACAGAGACAGAGAGATAGAAAGCGAGAAATCAACCCCCAGGGGGGATGGCCACACCGCAATCCCTTCTCCTCCATTATCCTCTCAGGATCTTGCTCCCGGCGTGAGTTTAAGCCACCAGATTTGAGACTTGAACTATTTAATGTTTTTAAATACATCATTTCATTGTATATCAGTATAGCATGCAAAGTACATTTTCCCAGCATGAATATACTGCATCTTAATCTGGTTAAAGATATTATCATACATGCTGTTGTCAACAGATAATTTCCATTTTTGGTAATATAAGAGGTATTTTACTATAAACTTGAGAAGGGGAATAGCTTGAACATTAAATTGAATGGTAGAAGATTCGTGGCAACATTGCAAAGTTTTTAAGATGCAATCTGCATTCTGGTATATTTCAGCTCATTCTTCCCTAAGAGGTGAAATGAAAGTATATGAAGATGCATATAATAGAGCAATCTAAGGAATAAGCCATGGACCAAGAGTCAAGAGACTGATGCTGGCTCTGGTGCTTTTATGCTCTGGCAGTCACCTTCACTCATTGTGTCCTAGATTTTTGCATCTGCAAATGGAAAATATATCTATTTTCATTCACCTTTGCAAAAAAGTAGCAATGTGCATTCTGCAGAAGGCTCTAAACTAAATAAAGGCTACAATACTTTAAAGAATCACTCTTGAATAATAAAAATTAGCCATTGGCATAAAATTTTCTTGGTTTCAATTTTAATTGCACCTTAAATCAGACATGAAGAATAAAACATGTCACAGGATAATGAAAAGCGATGAAAGACCATCTGTATACTCTGTGAACTTTATTTAACAATCTCTAATTTGTGTGTGTGTGTGTGTGTGCGTGTGCGTGTGTGAATATAAAAAAAAATGCAAACAGGACAAAATATTTATTGCTTTGTACACTGTTTTGTCTAGTTTCTTTAAATGGTTCTCAGACAATTGCAATATTTAGAAAAAAACATTGTTTAAAATATCTTTTTTATTCTTTCAGAGAGTTTTTCTACACAGCCAAGAAATTTTTGAAAAAAATAAATGTATATATGGATTGGAATTTTAAAAACTAAGTTAGCAAGAATATTTTCTTTCTTTTTGGTGTAAAAATTTTATTGTCAAAAAATTAAATAATTGGGACCAGCAGATGGCATAATGGTTACGCTGCTGGACTCACATGTAGTCAACCGTGGTTTCAATCTTGGACCAGGCAGCTTAAACTCATGCTGGGCACATGTGCATGCATGCCCAAGATCCCAAGGGAAGAATGGAGGATACGGGATTGCGGTATGAGCATCCCCCCCTGGAGGGTGATTTCTCACTTTCTATCTCTTTGTCTCTCTCTGTATCTCTGATGAGCACACGTGCCCTATAGCAAAAATTTCTCTTAAAAAATTAAATAATTAACAATATACTAACTTATTTAATAAAATAATTTCTAAAATATTCTTATAGCAAATTAATAGTAAATAAAAAAGTTATATTGGTTTTTTTGGGAAATAAATCAGGAATAGAACTTAAATATTCATCAATCTAGTAAAACAGAATGAAACCATATAAAGAGAATCACAATGTCTCCGTATATATTTGGGATATGTGAACCTTTCCTCCATTAAATTATATTACCTTAACACTAAATCACACTAGCAAAACAGATGTCCCTAAAGAAAGTAATGTACATGGAAAAAAATGTATTTATCAATTATTACCAGAAAATCAAACCCTGTCATGGCTTTGTTTTGTTGGCTCCTCAACTAGTTCTGCCCTTTGTTGCCAATGTGAAAGAAAAAAAGGGATGGTTTTTGTCAGAATGAATGACAAAAACCATTGTTGACATTAAACCTTACCTAAATATTGTGAAATATAAATTAGTGTGTGAATCAAAAAATTAACTCTCTAAAGATCAATTGTTGAAAGCATTTAATTATAAGTTTTGATAGGAAAAAAATTAATATTCTTTCATTAAAATAAAACCGAGTCCCAATACTTTAGAATTCAAAACAGTATTTTTTACTTTCTCTCTCTCTCTTTTTTTCCTACAGAAAATCTAAGGGAGTTAAATTGGAGGCTACCTTAAGTGCATTCACTTCTTCCAAGGCATCATTTCTCTCATGCTTAAGCCTTTCCATTTCATCTGCTTCTAAAGAATCACAGGGAAGAAGCTGTCAACATTAAAATGTAAGAGAAAAGTTATAAATTACATGCTAATTATGAGAACTAACACAAAACCCTTTTTTGACTAGTCTTAGCCCTTTGCATTCTGATAGCAAAATTCAATTTCCTACTTTGGAGTCATTTGATTAGATAAAAGAGAATATTAAAGTAATCTGGGGCAATTTCGTTCCTTTAAGCTTACCCTTACATTATTGTTAGAATTTAGGTGATTATAAGGTATACATAGTCTGTTGTCAACTTTATGACTATTTTAATAATATAATTTTCTATAAAAGTCCAAATTCTAAGACTGTGCTTATAATGTCAAACAGACTTTCGGAGTTATCAACATAAACTATTCCCTAAAGATATTTATTCCGAGATTATGATATCTAAGGCTCACAGAATGTTGTACATTACCAATCAAGATGGTTTACATGAGCCCAGTAAAATACACTTAACAATTATGTATCTGGTTTTAACTAAATGAAACATAATGTAACAGCCAAATGACTTTAAAAGATTCCTACACAGAAACTGTGGATTGAAGATAATATTAATAATTCATGCCCAAGTGAATAACAACAAAAATAGCAGAGATGGCAATTTCTCTTAAATCTAGCATGATCTCCTTGACAGTCAATTACAAGGTAAAGAAAAAAAAAATGACAATCTAATCAGAGATAAAATCCAAATCTAATTATAGCCATCCTCTATGTGGAAGTTATGAAAGAGCTTTAAAAAAGTATAGAAGATACAATTTAAGGATTAAATGGAGAAAGCAATTATTTTATGAGTATAGGTTCAAGGCAGAACCCTTTAGACAGCAGAGGTGAATGCAGTTTAGAACAAGATAAAAATAATAATACCGACCATATATTGGTAATTTACTATATGTAGATACATTGCTAACTACTGTGCATATTCAGTATTATGGCCTTACAATAATCATATCTTCATTCTTCATTTTACTGATGAAGAAATGAGCTATGAAAGGTTAGTACTTTGACGTAAGGTTTCACAGCTAACAAAAGCCATTTTTTTCCCAAGGAATTATTTATTTATGTATGTATTTATTTATTTATTTAAATTTGATCAGAGAGGGAGGGAGGGACGGAGGGAGGGAGGGAGAGAGAAAGAGAGGGGGGGGAATGAGAAAGCAAGCTGCCAGATCCACGACTTGAACCATGATTGGCCATTTGGGAGTCCAAAGCCCTTAACCAACACTCCACTTGCTGGCCCCGATTCTTTTATTCTTTTTTTAAAGAGAGATTTTTGCTATAGGGCGATTGAACTTGCTGGAGAGATAGAGGGAGAGAAAGCTAGAAATCACCCTCTCGGGGAATGGCCATGCAGCAATGCCTTCTCCTCTATCCTCTCAGGATTTTGGACAAGTACGCACACATGCCTGGTGAGAGTTTTACGCTGGCAGGTCCAGGACTTGAACTGTGATTGCCCATGTAGAAGTCCAGCAACATAACCACTACGCCATCTGCTGATCCATATTCTAAGATGTCCATAACGGTTTGACATCATAGTCTGTGATTTTTACTAACTACTCAACAAAAATTGTAGTGGGATGGATATGACAAATTCAAATTTGTTTTCCAAATTCTACAAAAATAGAAGTAGGGGAACTTTTTTTCCCTATACATCCATGATTCCTGTTTCCCTGCCAAATTAGTTTCCAGGTATCTGGCCATTGTCTGTAATTTACACGATCTCATATGCTTTATCTATCTCTATTATTCTACTTTCTCAAAAGCACTCAACACATATATGCATACAAATTCATTCCTACATTCTGTTAGCTTAGTTTTGAACACATTTTCAAAGTACCAGTATTTTCTGAAGTATGTTCCAAAGGATATTAACTAGTTTTGTATCAAAGCAAACTTGAGTGGTAGTGATGGTGGTAGAGTAGTGTAGGATTTAGGAAAAATTACCATTTTCTCTTGACTGACTTCTAATAGCCTTAATATGCTATAGAGCATCTTAACTGCCAAAAAGGAAAGAACTTAATTATAATCTAATGACATTTCCTCAGTCATCTGAATATGTCACAGCCCTCTGATCTCCTCACCCCACCCCCTTTATTGTTTACATATCAGGTCATGGAACTAACGTCTGCAAAACACAATTATAAAACTTGGATACTCAACACTCATATGAGCCTATTCTAATCTTAAGAAGTGAAATAAGGGCCAGTAGGTAGCACAGTGGCTAAGAGACTGGAATGTACATGGCTGATCATGTGGTTGAGTTCCAGACCAGGTGGTTTGAAAAACATGCCAGGTGTATGCATACATGCCCAAAATCCTGAGAGGAGAATGGCATGGTCATCCCCACTGGGGGATGACTTCTCACATTCTCTCTCTGTCTCTCTGGCAAATGCCTTTTGGCAAGGAAAAAAAAAAAAGTGAAACAAGGAGAATTCGAAACTTCAAATAAAATGTTATATAATAGAGCTAATGGGGGGTTAGCAGGAGGTGTGGTGGTTGAGGTGCTGGACTCCCACAGGGAAGACTGTGGCTTGAGTTGTGGACCTAGTGGTTTGCTTTTTCACTTTCCCTTTCTCTCTCTGTCTCTCTCTGGTGAATTAAAAACAAAACAAAACACTCAAAAAACAAAAACAGCAACAATAATAAATAAAATTAAATAAATAATTATTTTATAAAGATTAAAAACAAATAGTGCTATAACAAATTATTAAGATAAATAAAGGTTTGGTAGTTTAGAAATGTGATCATAAACTTTTGAGTTTAACTTTATAGAGGTAAATCACACATGCAAGAATCCATGGCACCATTTTAGACCAAAATGAACAGTCATAGAACAAACATCAATTAAAAAACAGAGTTTTATAATAATATTGCTATTTTGGACTAAGTAGCAAAACCTTGCAGCCAGATAATTGGACATACATATTAACTGTGAATTGTGAATTCTTTGAAAAGCTCCTTTAGGTTCACTAACTTTTAAATAGAGCAACAGGTGGTGTGTGGGTGTGAAGATGCTGGACTCTCACATGGCCACCCATGGTTCGAGGCCACTGGCGGTTTGCTTTCTCACCTTCTCTCTCTCTCTCTCTCTGGTGAGCTCATGTGCCCTACAGGAAATTTTAAAATATAATAAATAAAATTAAATCAATAATTCTTTTAAAAATATTTATATCTATTAAAATACACTTCAATTAAGCAAAGAGCAAATAAAATAAACTGTTCCTATTTAACACCAATTTCAGACAGAGGCCTGTTTTTTACACCTACTTCCAACTCAAACCTTATCCTCCTTAGTTTTATAACCCTTTCCTCTCTAGTTTCCACAAAAGCATTTGTGACCTCACCTCCCACCCCTCAGTCTGATAAATAACACTGTAAATGAGATCAAGAGACACTGCAGGTATTGGACTGTGATGACTTGGTCTGGTTCCAACACTTCCTTCATTGCTGCTCCACCATCATAATTTTAAATTATTTGACTTTTATCAATTCTGGATAAGATACTATTCCATTGGTTACATGCCTCAACTTTAATTAATCTTAGGCAGAACAAAACAATAACCTCTGTTTCAGTCTTATTTTATTAATAAGGTCTTCCAGCAGAAATCCATTCAATTACCCTATTTCCTTGTCAAATCAGTGACTCTACCATGCCATTCACCTAGAAATTTCTGTACATCCTCTTCTTTTCTCCCTTCATTTCCCTTGTTCACTACTTTCACTTCTTACAGTCTAGTTTGTATATCTTTCCTCCCATCCCTGTACTTTTACATTGATTATTTGTAATTCCACCAAAAAACCTATCTGACAAAGTAAATGTCCCTCACCAACTTTCCTAACCTTTGTCACATGTAACATTGCTTAAAATTTACTTTCTTGAAATTTTCTCTTTCTTGGTTTGTAAAATCCTATTTCCTTACCTATCCTTCTGAATATAGGCTGTTTCCAGTGACTTATTTTCATTTCTCCTCCCCAAATGGGAGAACCAACACATAAGATTACTCTTCATGTCACCATTCTCCTAAGATTACTCTTCCTAAAATGTCACTTTGAACATGTCACCATTCTCTTTAATGGCTCCTCACTGACTACTCAGTAAAGTATTAACTTTTTTTTTCTTTCTTTTTAAATTTTTTTTTGGAGAGGTTTTTTGCTATGGGATGCATGCGCTTGCCAGAAAGACAGAGAGAGATGAGAGACAGAAAGCGAGAAATCACCCCCCAGGGGGGATGGTCACGCCGCAATCCCTTCTCCTCCATTCTCCTCTCAGGATCTTGGGCACGCATGCACCCACGCCTGGCATGTTTAAGCCACCAGGTCCGGGACTCGAACCACAGTCGACTACATGGGAGTCCAGCAACATAGCCGTTACACTAACTGCTGGTCCCAGTAAACTATTAACTTTTAAATATAATATATACCTTTGAAGGTATATATTAACCTCCATCACATTCATTTATTGAATTAAAAATTTTTTTTTTTTTGGAGAGATTTTCACTGTAGGGCGTGTGCACTCGCCAGACAGACAGAGAGAGACATAGAGACAGAAAGCGAGAAATCACCCCCCAGGGGGGATGGTCACGCCGCAATCCCTTCTCCTCCATTCTCCTCTTGGGATCTTGGGCACGCACGCACACGCTCCCGGCGTGAGTTTTAAGCCACCGGGTCCGGGACACGAACCGCGGTCGACTACGTGGGAGTCCAGCGACATAGCCATTACGCTAACTGCTGGATCCCGAATTAAAAATATTTTTTATAAAAGATTGTTTTCTGCTTATAATCATGTTTTTTTGTGGTTATTGTTCCCATTAATACTTTTGTCACTCTCCACTTACCCCTTGAGTACCCAGAATCCTACTTAGCCTATATACTCACTCAACTCTATTATGAATCTTCTCTGAATAGTCTATGCTGTATTACTATCATTGCTTTATCTCACAATGCACTTCTTATTTTTAATATAATTATTTGTATACATGGCTTTTCCTTACGTGGCCAACTTTTAT